ATCTTCTGATTAAATAAACTTCAGGAAACACAATACCTGACTTCATTTTTGTTGACTTTGAAACGCACTTTAAACCTATAATAATCTGAACAATATGATACTGGCAAAGACATAAAGGCTAAGAAGAGAAAGCTCAGAAACAAAATGCCACATACAGAGATAATGATCATCTGATAAACATGAAAAGAATGTGTAATGAGGAAAGGACAATCTCTTCACTAAAGGTTATTAGTAAGGTCAATATTTTCACACAGAATGAAACTAGATACATAATATACCATACACAAAATGAATTAAAATGGATGTAAGATTTAAACCTTAGACCCAAGCTTTTAAAATTGCTAGAGTAGAGGACAGAATGGCTTTGGGACTATTATTTTGATTGGATACACCTCAAGTGGCTTGTAGCACTTCTTATGTTGAAATTTCATTCCCACAGTAAGCTATTGAGAGAATGAAAACATCATCTGTTTAGGGATAGGGACTTTGCATGATTTTTAATGAAGATCATAAAAGTGAAGCCTCAGTGATTAAATCCCAGTGGCTCACAAGAAAAAGGAGAAGAAAAATACAGACATGTGAAGACATACAACCCCTGTCATTAGTAATGGGATGCCTTGTGCCACCCTGGGAATATTCCAACAATATGGTCACCATCAGATGTGAATGCTGAAACCTTCAGAACCATTAAGCTAGATCAATTCTTGTTAATAACTCATACAATCTCTGCTATGGTTTTATCAGCCACAAAAATGCACTAATAAAATGACATTAGTGCTTGCTGTGGTTTATCAGATATGATGAAATTAAAGCATAAAGAAGCAAAAAGGACTGCATGAAATCTAACAATGTCAGCACATCAAAGTAATCAGTTGATAGAGCGAGTAATCAATCAACTAAGCATTAGAAAATATTTGAACACAGTAACTCACAAGGAGTTATTATTCAAGGGACTTCTACAACTCAGTACAGAAAAGCACAAGTAATCTGATTGAAAATTTGGGCTTAACAACTGAACTGCAGATGGTAATCTGTAATAGTAGTTTCATGCTTACAGTGCCTGTCATTCTGGTCTTCTGAATACGGGCTGCTTGTCATGACATGCCAGTTGCTGCTATGATGACTCTCGGGTAGACCGTTGTTCAAGAAGAAGGGGGTGGTGAATGAAAGCAAGAGACAGGAAAAGGAATATTGTGGGATTGTCCTGCTCCAAGGTTGTATATGGTGAGATTTTTGGACTTTTGTATAAGCATAGGAAGTATATAATTCTTTATGCCTATTTTTAAAATATATCTAATTTTTAAACATTTTTTAAAATCATATTCTGTAGGGACTTAAAGTTCAACATATCAATACTTGATGAAAAATACCTGTTCCATATTATGCCTAAGATGTTTGATATGCAGACAGATAGTGAGGTTATGCTTAACAGCCTAAGTTGTATGGTAATAACAATAAGCTTGTCTTCTGGATGGTTAACAACCTAAGTTTGCAGACCAAAATTAGAGAAAAAGGAAGGCTGCAAGGAAAACCAACATTTTGGCCATAGCCTTCCAAGGTCAATTAAGACTCAGGACATATGAGAACTTGTACTGTAACGTCTTGTAACTCAGTAGTGTCCCAAATTTTCTGATCAAGGAGATTATGGGGCCAAAGACGAAAGTGATTGATGATGTAGAGTGTGCCTAAGGAGAGTCACATGGAGAGAAAACATTCTCTCAGGCTTTCACAGAGAGCACATTGGTCAAGCAATGGCCATTACTCATCCACATGGCTGACACTGACAAAGGTTCTACAATCTGAGGTACAGGATCTCAGGATAAATCCTGAGGGGATTTCACTGACCTTATCAGACCCAAAAGCTACAACTCTTGTTGCATAGGTCCTGCTTTATCTTGGTTTTAACCATCCAGCAGAAAAGTATAGAAACGAAATATAAGAAGTAAAGCCATGCTGTTATATTGAGCTATAGGGGACTCAGGTCAACAATTTCTGACATTGCCAGTCAAGTGGAAGACCCCATACTATTATGGGCTACTGAACTCTTTTAGAATATTTTGCTGAGTTAACACACCTATAATATTCAAATAACAGAACTTAAGAAAAAAAGGGGATACAGATGAATATCCATTTTGTATCTGTGTATTCAAAGTGGTTAGGATAGATATATAGTTACATTCTCTTAATGAATAGAGTGATTTGTTTTAATCGTGTTTGTAAATAGGATATCAAGTCCGCATCTTGTACAGCAATTAACCACTAGGAAGAATGTATTAATTATTGAAACTGTCCTACCAATTTGATTTGAAACTGTCTCATTGCTATTTGTTTATCCATAAACTTATTTGAAAAAAGAATGTTTAAAATAAAAAAAATTGGGTTTAAATAGATATTTCTTTAAATATGTAAGTGTCAAAGAAGCATATCAAAAGATACTTAATGATACAGGGGAAAGAAACTCCCAAACATCTAGGTATTTGATATGAGTTTATGGTCTTTAAAAATCAAAGCATGAATTTTAGGGATAATGTAGGTTAAGAGCAGAATATTTATTGGGGTAAAGAAAACTTCTGAGAGGTAGAAGGAAACCCAAGTTTGTTGCCACAGACCCTGCCTTTGCTAGCGATATTTATAGAGCAAATTCATGATGTGAGGCAGGTCCAATGTGGGAAACTTGGGAAATCACAAGTTGGTGAAGAGGTGAGACAAAACTATGGCCAGCAAATAAGATTACAGGTATACTAGCTAAGATAAACATGGATTAAACTGGATCAAATAAGGAAGCAAGTCATGTACAGAACAAGGGGTTTTCTTGTAGGGGGCTGGGTTAGTTGTTTTTCTGGCTTTCTCAAAGCAATAGAGATCCTTTAGATTTGGAAAAGTGTCATTTCAGTTAGTGCTACTTAAGTCTTATAACCACAAAAACCTGAGTTGTTGGAGTTTCTTATATGTTTAAATATTAACTCCTTGTTCAATAGAGTGTGTATGAATATTGTCTCTTGTTTATTTGACTGCCTACTTACTCTATTGATGGATTACATTACTGTTATAACATTGCTACACTATCAATCCCTGATGTCCATCCCTAGGGAAGTGTATGAGCGCATTTGTTTCCTGTTTTGAATTGAGTCTGGGACACAGATCAGGTGCCTGTCTCTCTCAGAGTTGCAAGGTATTTCTTCCTCTGCCCTGGCAGCAAAGAGGGTTTAGTGCTATCTGATAAACTATTACATTTTTATCTAACCTAATTATCTACATTAACTTTATTCATCATAATCAAGGAAATGCAAATTATAACATATCACCACATTCTTTTTTTTGTTTTGTATTTAGTACAGGGTCTACAGGCCCACCAGGGTCTCACTACACAGATTAGACTTATAATGATCCTTCTGTTTTCAGTCTCTCAGATGGTGGGATCTCAGATGTGTTTCACCATGCCCAGTCTCAATCACGTTCTCAGGGAGCCCCAGGGGCAGGGCCAGTATTGCATCCTCATTCATTTGGATAATGATTTCTTAAAAATTAAAGAACTTATGAAGGTATGTAGAAACTGGAACCTTTGTGCACTACTATTCAGAATGTAAAATTGTGTAGTTGCTTAGGAAAAAGGTTTGAAGTTTCTTTTAAATGCTTTAAAGAGAATCACTGCATGATTCACCTACTCCACTTCTTTATATTTACAAAAAACAATGAAAAGTCAAGATTTTGGGCTGGGGATAAGCGCTTCCCTAGCAAGGGCAAGGGCCTGAGTTCAATCCCCCATTCCACCAAAAAACCAAAAAACCCTACACACACACACACACACACACACACACACACACACACACACACCCAAACAAACAAACAAACAAATATTTTGAAAAACTATCCACAGCAGTTTTTACTTGAAATAATGTCTATCTTAAGAGAAAAAGCCCGTAAAATCCTTTGCTTGGTTATGCAGACATCTCTTCTACTCTGACTTTGTTGAACCAATACGATTTCAAGGCTCAGCCATAGGACAGGGACAAGCAACTGTCCAGTGGGAAGGAGCTGCACAGTTGTGAAAATCAACAGGAAGTTGATTGTGGCAAGTGTGACAGGAAAGCTTGTTTCATTAGGTCTTTACAATATGACACATCCACCATGTCTTTGTTTCATGTGGTCCTCAAGATGGTTTATCTCCGCAAGAAATTGTCTGCTCTCAGTTTGGAATACTTCTCTTAGGAGATTGGGTTGCTCCTAAAAAAGACAAATGGAATATCAGTAAGTTTCGACAAACAAAAGCTGGTCAGAAGCGACAACATTCACTACATATTAGTCAAAGGAACAATTAACCAGGAAGATATAACAATTGTAAATATGCATACACCAAATATCAGTGCATCTAATTCAGTAAAGCAAAAACTTCTTGAGAGAAAGGGCCAGAAAGATATCAAGGCATATAGTGTGGAGGATTTCAACATCCCTCCCTCACAAATAGAGAAGTAAATCTAACAAAAAATTAATAAAGAACTATCAGAGTCTATCTACATCATAGAACTAATGGATTTGCTCATAGCTATAGAATATCTCATCCAATGAGAGCAGAGTAAACATTCTTTTCAGCAGTCCATAGAGCTTTTTCCAATATAAACCATAGATTAGGCTTGAAAGCATATCGCACTTAACACAAAATAATTTTAGTACTCTTCTGTATCTTAGCAGGTGACAATGAAAGAAACTAAAAAACAGCAAAAGAAACCACAGAAACTATGCAAACATGAAGATTGATTAATACACATGAGTAATCATTGGTACACTGAAAAAATCATGGAAGAAATTTAAAAATTCCTACTCAAATTATTATGTAAATCTAACATAAGAGAATCTATGAGATACAACGAAAGCATATATAAGGAAGAAGTTCATAGCTATAAGTGCCTACATTAGAAAAGCAGAGAGATCCTGAATAAATAATCTAAGGATATCTCAAGACATATTGTGTTTGACATTTAATTGATAGGTTAAAGGAAATCACCCAAATGCAATTATACCCAGGGTTTCTCTGGATGTGCATATTTTCTGCTTATTGTTGACAGTCTTTCTTTAGAGGAGAGATGTGTGGATAAATCCATGGAATACTAGAAAGGAATCCCATGCTACCTAGACTCAGGGGTGTTGCAGAGAACAGAAAACAAAAAAGTCTTTTCAGGAAGTATTTGGTATCTAAAAGTAGAGGAGTAGTAGAAACTAAAAGATGCTTCAGTGAACTTTTATTCCATACTAGCCAGGGTATGAGAAGAAATGAGGTAAGTAGGGTAAGAAGCCAGCAAACAATGGTGGAACATTTATGCTGATCCATGGGGTAAAAGCTTCACAGGAGATAGAATATGACACAAAGATGTAGTCGTTGCTCAATACATTGTAGTCACCAACAATTGGTGACATGCCTATCCTTATGTAGCTCACTTCCAAGTAAGTGGAGACTGACTCTATAAGTACAAATTAGATAAATAGGGATTTAAACAGTCACATGCTAAGATAGAAGTGGGCAGGTAAAGGACCAAGGATTGATGATATTGGTTGAGAAGGCATAATGACATTATCAAAGGGTTCCCTGGAGATTTCCCTGAACAGTTGGCATTGGACTAAAGATTACAGATTGAGGGTGGGGATCCTGTAAATAGAGGGGAAATAATTTTAATTACTCTATCCCCATCCTAGGAAGCAGATAGTTGTTTCTCAGCCATATTTTATTTTGTATTTTACTAATGGCCAGTGATGTTATTCATATTTCCATGTACTTATTTGACACCTGTGTATGCCCTTTATTGAAATGGCTTCTCAATCTTTTAAACAACTTCTCAATAAGGATTTTAAGTCTTTATATTTTCTGTATATGCGTCCTTTTTTAGTCATGTGATCTGAAAATATTTTCTTTTAGCCTGTAGTACATCTTCTTTATTATCTTACTGGTGTCTTTTGTAGAGCAAAGTTTGTCACTTGTGATGAAATCTAATTTATTCAATTCTTTTGAAAATTCAAAGTACTTTTGAAAATACTGATGTGACTTTGTTGAGAAATCTATTTAAAATACAGTAAAGCTTTGCCCCTTTTTGTGTTCCAAATTGCAGTTATACCTCAAATTGAGCTTCAGTTAAGAATCTCTAAAATCATGCTTGGGAGATGATTTTTATCCTGTATGTTAGGTGCCACTGACTCTTTCAGTTATGTACTAAGTAGTACAAACCTTAAAGTCTAATAAGACAACCTGATGAATCATATGTGTTCACTTGGTAAATATACATTAACTCTCGTAGTCTGTATTCAATGGTTTTGGAGTTCTATTGTATATACCTCAGAAATTACAAAGGTACAGTCATTAATGAGAAGAACAAAGGAAATACAGATTAATTACTAAACTGCATGATTAAAAATCACAGAGGATTAAATTTTAGAAAAACTTTGGAAGTTTTCAGATAATTCTTGACATGCTTTTATGGCTCATATACAGATGTCCCCACAAAGCCTCAAGTGTTCATAGATGTGGCAATTGGGAGGTGGCTGTAATCATGGGCATATGACTCTGGAGTCAGGCTGTGAAAACTGGATTAGCCCACTGATCAGGTGAGAATAGTTCTGGATGTGGATAATGGGAAGATCCAACCTGGGTAAGAATAGCACCAAACAATAGGCTCATAGCCTGAAAAGGATAAAAAAGGGAGAAGCAGGCTGATGCTTGCTGTGCTCTGCCTGAGCTGCTACAGGGTGTTTCTCCTGTGCTGCTTAGACATGTCATCTTGCTTTGGAATAAACTGACTATGGACTACAAACTGGGGAACCACAACAAGCCTTTCCTTATTTAACTTGTGGCTATAGGGCTTTTTTTTCCAGCAACAAGAAAATAACTAAGACACATGAAGTCTTAATTGCTTTTTATAACATGTTAGCAAAAAACCAAAACCAAAACAAAAATCTACCTCAACCAAACCAAAACAGAAATCTGAATAAAAATATACAATAGGAAATGTTTTTGCCCAAATGGTAATTAACCTTGGTTTGTAGAAAGAAAGTGTCTAGGAATTCTCCTACATACATCTTCTTTCAGAATTAAACTTGTTTCACAGACAAAGTGATTCCTTTTGATATCCTGTGGAAAAATGTGTAGACCTAAGAAAGGTTTAATTTCTTAACTCAAATCTAACATACAAGCAGTAATTGCTTTCCTTTTAAATTTTGAAACTATTGTCTGTCAAAATCCTGTATTTTATGAGCTTGCCACTAACATACTCATGAACATAACTACATACTTTAAGTAAAACTTACTCTAAGTAAAGATTAAATTTCTATAACATTCTGTTAATTAAATTTGGCTAAATATGTTTTTCCCCCATCACTAGATATAAAATGCTGGGGCTTCTCATTGTACTATATATCTGGCTGATTTATTTATTTATTTATTTATTTATTTATTTTTGCTTTGAAATAGCATCGTACTAAGTCACTATATCACTACATTGCCTGAACTAGGCTTAAATTTCCAACCCTTGGGACCTCTCAGAGTGCTGGGATTATAGGCATGCTTAACCACATACAGAATTTTCAAAGGTATGAACATTTATATCACTCCGATATAAGACTTGATTGACCAGTAGGACAGAAACAAAGAAAGCAAAATATTCACACTAAACAGCAAAGGTTTCAGTCACATATGGTCAATAAGTTACAGATTTAGAGAAGAAAGACCTAATGATTTGGCACACATCTATAATCCCAGCACTACAAAGACTGAGGCAGCAGGATTCCTTTGAGTTTGAGCTCAGTCTGAACTATATGGTGATAGCCTGTCTCAAACAAATAAACAAAGAAAATCATCCAACTAACCAACTAACCAATCAATCAACAATGAAATTTTTTTTAAAGCTTTCCCTCCCTGTATTTAAGACAGGGTCTATAGGGTCTAATAGGATCTACAGGGTCCCACTATGTAGATTGGACTCTTAGTGATTCTCCTATTTTCAGCCTCCCAAGTGCTAGGATTACAGCAGCGCACCACCATGCCCAGTCTCAGTCACTGTTTTAGCACATCCCAAGGGCAGGAGCTGGCACAGCACACGCTGCAGATTGAACCCAGGTCGCTGCACACTGCCTAAGCAGGCACTTTAGTCCACTGAATTATCAGGCAAGACTTAACAAACAAAATTCTACACAGAAAAAAAATGCTTTAGTGACAAGGGAAGAAGATTTTTAATATGGAGTCACAAGAATCATAGATAAAAAAAAAAGCTTTCTCCTAATGACAACTTAAAAGCAAAAATATTTCCAATAGTGGAGGTATTGACTATTTTCTGACTTTGTCTCACCCTTGTGGTGGGCTCCACAGTCATTAATGGTACTTTTGTCAGGTTCAAGTACTGAGCTCCTACTTATACTTCAGCTTATTTCTTTGTAGATACAAACACCCAGATGGCAGCATGTCCAAATCCCTCAAGGCAGAGAATATGATCAGACCAGGGGAACTTGAACAGGGATCTTGAAAAGGAGATTCCAAATGTTTAGGATGTTAAAAATAAGCTATTTCTCTAGCTTCCTAATTTCCAATTATGGTACCAAGAAGGCTTCAGCAGAGCCTGACTTCTAACATTTATCTGGACACAATGGCAGATGAATGTAACTTCATTTTGGCTTTGTTCTATCCATGCTATAAAGTAAAACACTTTTGTGTATTGAGCAAAAACAGTCCAGCTCTCTTGCCAACTTAGCTAAATTGTGAATAAACACATAATCTCACTTATACTGGCATGCCTATACTTTCAATCGTGAATGGAGAAATGACTCCAGATATTTGGTGTCAGATTCAAAGTTCTACCTGGGTCCTCCATAACATATATACAAAACATGGAAATAAAATAGTCTGAAATTCACATGAAGTGTCTTGATCCCAGTTTAGGACATTTAAGCTGAGCCCGCACAAGCTTGCCCAGGTGATAGGCAAGCCAGTCAGAGTCCCAGAGGATTTCTGCACAGAACTCCCAAGGGAACACAAAATGGGACCAAGCAGAGAAAATGGAGGAGCAGTGTGAAGGCTGAAGAAATTTTGTTCACAAAGATCCTTGTAGAGTTAAATTCATAACAGATTGGACCAAATAAAACTCATATTTAATGACACATTTCCTGAACTGTATGATCTAACAAAAGCTATCCTGAATCCGTGCTTCTTGTAATAGGGAAGAAGTTTTTTCTCATATTTCTATGTAAGAGATACAGTACAGAAAACATTTTCATGATGCCTAGCAGACAAAGCTGCCATGAAGGAAGGATATATTCACTGATGAGCCAGCACTGAAAGGGAAAACAATGATGGTACAGGGACAGCAGGCAGGTCAGGCAAGTGCACAGGAGTCAATATGCACAAGGTCCTTTATGGGGATTCATGATGTCCTTGCCCATTTTTGTGATCAGGGAGAATGGAGAGAAAAAAGAGAAACAAAGTTTAAAGTGATGCACCTGAATACCTGGAGTTTGAGAGCCAGAGTGCCCCTTTGCTCTTTTATTACCTGGACCCTCTCCTCCTCCATCTTTGCAGTCAACTGTCTGATATGCTCCTGATGACACTTCTCTCTCTGCTCCAACTTTTCCTGAGTCTTCTTTTTGATTTCTTCCAACATTTTTTTGGCAGCCTCTGCTAATTCAGCTTTCATATGTTCCACTGAAAGGAATGAGACAAAGGGCTGTGGGTTGTTATGAGGCCTCACCTCTTCTTTCTTTGTATGTTTACTTATTTCTGCTTCTTATCACATTGCAAAAGAAGATACACTTTTTTGCTTCTTGATCCTTTTTAGAATAAGAGATTTACTTAAATTATTTTAACTTTTAAGATCTTCTGAGGTCAAGTAATCTTTTGACTTATTTCTCACCTTCAATCTCCTTTTTTCTCTCTGTGAGGGTCTGGTCTGTCTGTAGAATGGCATTAGTCATATCCTCCTTGGACTGCAAGTATTTCTGCAGAACTTCCTCAGCCTTCCAAACCAAAGAACACAGGTTTAACAGTAGGAAGTGACTGTTACCATCCATTTTTGTCTTTTTGCCTTCTAACTTTTCCTCTAGGAACCATTCCTTCTAGTTCTTGGGATCCTGGTGACCAAGATTCTCTGTTAGCAAGAATGGGCACATGCTCCAGGCTGGACAGTAAGACCTCTTACTCTGTGCTGTAAGAATCAATGTCTTAAAAATAAATAAATAAATAAAAAGAATCAATGTCTTTCACAGCATGTTTTTGGGGAGAGACTTGTGTCATTTTAGACTGAAGGTGGTATGTTTAAAGCTAATGGTGCTGTGGTCTCTATGGGCTGAGCCTGTTACAGAACAAAGCCTTCATGGAGATAACAAATCAGAAAAGAAAGTGGAAGCATTAAGAAAGCTAAGAACATGTGAGTCAGGATGGTACAGGTAGTGAAAAAGGAGACATCTCCATTGTTAATTGGGCATGCTGTCTATGAGCAGTACCTAGGGCAGAGCCAGTACAATAGACTTCTTGTGGGTGTCACAGAATGAACATGTAAAAGCAGTGTAGAGTACAGTACATAACTGAGAATAATGGTTGTTAACACTAACATAGAAATCAGTACAACACCACAGGCAAATGGTTTACCTGTATCCCCTTCTTGGGTTCCTCATAGTACTTTTTCTTCAGCTCTTGTATTTTCTGCATAAGGAGGTTATAGCCCCCTAGTTTGGAGTAAATTCCTTGCTTCACTTCTTCTAGGGGATTGAAGTTATAAAATAATAGCCAGGGAGTGATGATAATTTGCAGTCAGAGTTTCTGAGAATACTTTTCAAAAACATTAAGACCCCAACAATTTTTCCACAGTCCCTTTGTAAACTTTAACTTTACTACAGTTTAATTTCTGAGGAGAAATTTTTGGCATTATGTTGCAATTTAGAAGTAAACTTCTAGTTTTTTAGATTACACCAATGACTGCACATGGAATAAATGTACCTCAAAATAAGCCTTTGTTAGGTACTTACAAGAAATGTTTTCTTTGCTTTTTTCTTGAGTAGCAAACAAATGTGATAATAGTGGACACCTAATTAGTTAGAAGTTTGGATTAGTAATTATATGAATTTAGTTATTGTTCAGTTTCTGATTCTATGAAACTTTGCCAGAGTCATTATGGTGGTTTATCCAACATGATGTTGGGTTCCAAAACAATAATGTGTCACTTCCAGACCAAATTCTGTGTTATTCCACTAGTCCCAAGTTAGATTATGTTTCTCCTTTACATGACAGGTAAATGACAGTGACCATCCAACTCTCTTGATAGGACACTTAGGCTGCACATGTAAACCACCTCTAATTTAAGGTGATAAAGAGTTGCATTCCCAGATCTCTCTGTGAGGATCCCTTGCTTCTCTTGAAGCAGGTCTCCTGTACTGAGTAATAAAGGCCTCTTTTATTTCTCTCCTGTCTTTCATTTGCACCTAAGGGAAAACTTTACATTTTGGTTCCATGACTCAGATTGGTTGGGGCATGTATCTCCTGGGTCTACCCTCAGTTTTGAGCTTCCCCAACCAATGATCCACTTTTCTTTTTTCTTGTGTCTGCCTCTGCCATTGCCAGCCTGCATCTAACACTGATCCACCCTCATTCCTCATAGGTGAGCTGCAGCTCATTCCTAGAATTCTTGCCTCATTTTCTCACTCTTTCTTGTAAATGCATCCTGTGTCAGATTTTCCCCTCATCCCAAATTATTCTTTTGTTTTCTTGAGCCCACAATAGGATATCCCTCTACCTTTTGGGTGATCCACTGGACTGATGAACTTTTTTTCACAGCACATTTTTGGTTGTGCACCAAGCTTTTTCCTTTCCACTCACCTTTAATTTGATCATTATGGGAAATATTCCTTCCAAGACCAAGAAAACAAACTGCTAGTTCTTGATGAGATGGCCAAACTAAAATGACTGCTTTTTTTTTTTTAACTTTTGCTGCTGCAATGGCAAATGACCAAATATCTCTTACAAGCCTTTATTGTTCACAAGGTGAACCCATCCCCTACTTCAGGCAAGTGGTGAGACCCAAACACTTTTGACCCACTCCACTTCACTAACTCCCATCCCTCACTGTTTGCCTGATCCTCCACCTGATGCCTCTCCAAACTCTCTCACTCTTAACTGGTCACTCCATCCCATCTCCCCCTCCCATTCCCTACCCTCCAGTACTTCTTCCTCTTCTACTCCTCAATTTCCATGTTCTCTTAGCCATACCCTTGCTTGCAGGAGATGGTGAATTATGCTGGTCCCTTGCAGCCACATATGTCATAGTGTGAATTAAAGACATCCAAACTTGTGGGGGCAACATTTTACCATTGACAGTGTCCTTGTCCTCTTCCTCACCTTTTGTTTGCCTCAACCTGAGTCTCTAACTCATTGATCCCAAAGGTAGTCTTTGTCCCTTTTCCTTCAAGTTTTTCACTTCCAGAAAGTGCATGTGATCCATGAACAACTGATGGCATCTTCTTACCCTCCCTTTGCTATCTACCACCTGCTCAATCTAGACAGCAGCTTACAAAGCATGCCACAGGATGCTGCTGGCATTGCTACTGCTTAATCTATCCTGTTTTTCCTGCTAAACTTACTGCTCACTCCCTCTCACCCACCTTAGTAGACAAACACCCTCTGTGCTACAACAAAGGTGTTCTGTTCTGAGTCTGTGGATTTCTAGCCCTACCCTGAGCATGTACCTAAGTCAGGAGAAAAAAAAAAGTATCTTCTTCCAGTCCAATTCCTGTCAGTTGTCTCAAGATACCTGCCACAAGCTGAAAAAGTTAGAAGAGTTTTCAGTAATAAATTTGTCTTAGTTGAAGACACAGAATGAAAATATAGAAAGGAACAGAGAAAAGTGATACTGACAGCCTATAAGAAGGAGCCAGTAGGGATCCAGAAAAAGGGGACAGAAAGTCATTATGTTTCCTGGACCCAGACCAGTGTGCCTATTGCAAAGAAAAGACACATTTTAAACAAGAATTTCTTTGCTACTAGAGAGGGAAAAGGAGGAGTGATTGTGATGGAATCAGAGGAAGTTTCAGATTGAGGAGTCATAGATTTCTGCTTCTCAGCCCCAGGGAACACTTGTTAACTACTAATACATGGAAAAAGGCTGTTAGACTTTTGATAGAGAACAATGTAATTTTGTCAGTAGTTACTCAACTAGTGACCTCACTTGCAAAACAGAAAGTGCTCAGTGTTTTACAAGGGCTTGTGCAGAAGACAATCCCCCCAGGCCTGGAAATTCATGTGTCTTTAGTAATAATGAAATTGATGGGACATTCAAAATCAGGTTTTTTGAGATAATACCCAATGGCAATGGAAACTAAAAAAGGGATCAAAGCCCATATTCAAAGCCTGCTTGAGGCAGGTATATTGAGGAAATATTAGTATACATGAGCATACACCCTTCTATTTGTTATATTTTAATTATTATATGGAGAAAGAAGTAGCAATGAGATAGTTTCAAAATAGATTAGTAATACAGTTACAATAATGAATACATTGCATATTGTTGTCTTTGTAGCAGTAATTCCTAGTACAAGATGCAGACATGATATCTTATCTAAACACTATTAGTTCAAAACCTTCTCATTGAACTAAGAGAAAATAGCTGTATGTTTATGCTATTTTACATATACAGATATATATTTTTTCCACCAAAAAATGGTCCATCTATATCCCCTTTTTGTTTACTTTTGTCAGAGATGTATATTCCATTGCCATTCATATATTGTAGGTGCATGAATTCAGCAGAGTAAACCAATATCATCCAGTAATCTATAATAGTAGTGGGTTATCTGCAAGACTGGCAGAACCAGAAGTTGTTGACTTGAGCCTTTTACAGCTCAGCATATTAATATAACTTCCTTTTTATACTTCGTGTTTATACTTTCTGCTAGATGGTTAAGACCAAGATAAAACAAGACCTATTAACAAAAAATGTAACTTTTGTGTCTGACAAGGTCAGTCAAATCCCCTCAGGACTTACTCTGAAACCCTGTACAGCTGTTTGTAAATCTTTTGTGAATGGCAGTCATGTGGATGAGTCATGGCCATTGCTTGACCAATTTGCTCTCTGTGAAAGCCTGAGAGAATGTTTTCTCTCCATGTGACTCTCCTTAGGGACACTCTACATAGTTGATCACTTTCCTCTGTGGCCTCATAATCTCCTTGATCAGAAACTTTGGGAAACCACTGAGGTACAGGATGCTACAGTACAGATTCTCCTATGTGCTCAGTCCTCACTGACCATGAAAGGCTATGGCAAAATGTTGGCTGTTCTTGCATCCCTTCTTTCTCTCTAATTTTTGGTGTACAAACAGGTTGTTAACCTTCTAGAAGAGAATTTTAATGATATAATTACCCTATAACGTAGGCAGTTGAGCTTAACCTCACTATCTGTCTGAATATCAAACATCTTAGACGTAACATGGAACATGTATTTGCCATCAAGTATTGATATGTTAAATTTTAAATCCCTACAAGATGTGTGGGAAAAAAGAAAATAAATAAAAATATAGAAAAATATTTTAAAAAATAGGAATAAACAATTACATATTTTGAAACATAAATCTAACCATAAAGAGCATTGCAGCAGGACAGTTCTATGACTTTTTTGTCTCTTGTTTTTGTTTATTACCCATCCTTTTTTTAAAAAACATAAACACTTACTTGAGAGACTGTGTGGCAGTATTTGGCATGACATGACCAGTAGGACATATTTAGAAGATCAGAATGACAGACATTCCAAGCATGACCCTAGAAATGCACATTGCTATCTTCAGTGCAGTTTCTTAGTTCACAAGTATCAGCATAATTAGTTAGTCAGGGTGAAAATCCTACCAATCAACTATGAGTTTCAAAAACCTGATGGAGATACTCAGGATCATTGCCTTAACCATTTTGTACATATAAATATATGGCTTTGCCTCTGTTATGCTTCCTAGCTTTTCTCTTTGTCCTTTCTTTATTGCTTAATCCTTAAATTCTTAATATTTTTTAAATTTTGATATACCTTTCCATTATTATTTCTTCTTTTGAGTTCTTATACTAGGGAGATTATGTAATATTTGCACATGTGGGTCTGATTCTTTTCAGATATGAGTATATCCTTAAGTGGCATCCACTTGAATATAAAGACTTTGAGTTTATCATTCGTTATAGCTGAGTGATACTCCATTGTACAAAAAATAGCACTGCTTTTTCATCAGTTTCTCAGGTGATGGGCATCTTGGTTGTTTCCAAGATTTGTGTATCACAAATTGTCTTGCTATAACCATAAGTGCACCTTTATCACTGTAATATGACATTTTTAAGTTCCTCTGGGAAAATTCCCAGTAGGGGGATAACTAGTTTATATGAGATTTCCAGTCATAGTTTTTTTAAGGAGTCTCCACACTGATTTCCATAATGGTGACACCAGTCTACATTACCAACAGCAGCAAAGAAAAGTTCCTTTTCCCCACAGCCTCTCCAAAATTTATTGTTGGTTGATTTCTTTATGATAGCCATTCTTTCTGGGGTGAGAATATATTTCAATGTTGTTTTAATTTGCATTTCATGGATGGCTAGTGATGTGGAGTATTTTTTCATATATTTGTTTGCTGCTTTAATTTCATCTTATGGAAGTGTGTGGTCATCTCAGATGCCCATTTTTGGATTGGGTCTTTAAATTTTGAGGCCTTAATGTTTTTTAGTTCTTTATAAATTCTAGAGAGCAAATCCTTATCTGAGTGCTTATTAGTTAAGATTTTTTCGAAGTTTGTGGGTTGTCTTTATCTTTGTTGGTAATTTCTTTTGACATGCAAAAACTGCTCAATAAGAGGAGGTCCTAGTCATTAATTCTTTTAACTATTACAATTTGATTTTTGTTCATGAGCTCTTTGCCTAACCCTATGTCTTCAAGCGTTCCTCCTAGTTTCTTTCCCAGGAGATTTAGTGCTTGTGTTTTAATGTTTAGATCTTTCATCCATTTTGACTTTAGCTTAGTGCATGGTGATAGACCTGGGTCAAGTTTTAGTTTTTGGCATGTGCAGAGCCAGTTTTTCCAGCACCATTTGTTAAAGAGGTTATCTTTCTTCCAGTAAGCATGTTTGACTCCTTTGTCAAAGATAAGGTTGCTGAGTATGTCTGTAGAGGATTTGGCATCCTCTAATCTATTCCACTGATCCTCAGGTCTATTTTGTTGCCAATACCATGTTGATTTTAATCACAGTAGCTTTGCAGTATAATTTCAAGTCAGGAATTGTAATGCCTCCTGCCTTGTCTTTGTTGGCCAGGATAGCCTTTGCTATTTTAGGTCTTTTCTGGTTCCAAATAAATTTTAGGACAATTTCTCTAGTTTTGTGAGGTATGTTGGTGGTAGTTTATAGGGATTGTATTAAATCTGTACAGCCATTTTGGGAATATGGCCATCTTAACAATGTTGGTTCAAGATGCCCATCACCCGAGGAATGGTTCAGAAAGATGTGGTATTTTTACACAATGGAGTATTATTCAGCTATTAAGAATGATAAACTGCAAGCCTTTATATTAAAGTGGATGCCACTTGAAC